TGATACATAGTAAAATCCAACCGTAAACTAACTTTAAGTTGTTCTAAGGGGATGTATACATGGCTTTTAGTTGTGTCTTATGTTCTCATAACGATCACATTTATGTACGTGGTAAGGCACCAATTAAATCTAAAAATATTTTTATTATTGAAAGATAAATATAATTACAATGGATTAATTTATGAGTTATTACAATGTGGATTGAATAAGACATAAATTTATATTCTATCGAAAAGTTGAGACAAAACTTAGGTAAGTTTTGTCCCTATATTATCAACTTTCACCCCATCCTAAACAAAGCCACGAGCAGAATTCTTCAGACTCATTTGAATTCTTTCATCTCGACTGGCGTGTCAGAAAAAGATGAATTAGGTTAAACAATGAAGGTTAAGTCGTTTGAGCAAAGATAATAAATGTTTAGGGGGTAGGAGTTTTAAATTCCATTAGTTTTAAGAGAAAGAAAAAGGAAAAAGCTTTATGGATAAAGACCGAAGAGTAGACTCGATAGGACCATGCTTTTGCAAAACTGACAAAACATAATTGCAATCCAACCACTCACAACCATTACGCATTTGTATTTGGCCGACCACATTTGTCACCTTTTTACTCGACAATGATTTTATTTCCAACAATCCTTTACCAATTGGTCCGTTTACTTTAGACATTTACGTAAATAAATTTCTAAAACAATCGTCCGAAGATATTATCTCTAATAATAATTCTTTTGATCAATCAAGATACAGGTAATTCTTATGTCGACCAAGAAGGAGAATCTCTACTACATATTTCGTGCTCCAACGTTGTTATTTTGGGATCCGTTTGATAACCATTTTTATTTTTTGTTTTTCTGTTTTTAGTTTTTTGATTTTCTGTTTTTAAAAAACAAAAATGTTTGATAAACATTTTTTGTTTTCTATTTTTTTTTAAACATAAAACCAAACATTTTTTTTAACCATTTTTAGTTTTATGTTTTTAAAAAGTTAGAAAATTGAAAATAGATATTAGAGAGAGAAAATTCTATGTAGAGTAGAGGTGACAATCGTGTGGGTGCGAGTGAGAATCTTCTCCTCCATTCTCATGCTCGTGAAACTTTTTAATCCCTGTCTCCACCTCGTGCTTCAGTCCGAGAGATGTTCTCAAGAAAAATTATAAATTTTATAATTGTTTATAATTATTTTTAGAATTTAAAAATTAAAAAAGTGTAGTAAATATATATTAATTATTTAAAAAATGGAATCGGGGACGGGGTCGGGACATGAATTTCCTTATTTTGGGACTCGACCCTGTGGAAAAATTTTTCATACCTAATATAGAGACATAAAAATACAAGTTTTGAGAGATGTAAATAAACTTTTGGAAAATAAATTTTAGATAGATAAATAAAAAGATTTAGAAAAAAAATTAATGAAAGAAAAGTTAAAGACAAAAAGAGAAAAAAGTAAAGTCGAGAGGAAAATATATGTTAAAGAAAAAAAATTAGAAAGAAAGAGAAAAATTATAATGAAAAAAAATTTAGAGATAAACACAAGATTCAAAATATAATTTTTATAGAAAATAAATAAATACAGAGATAAATAAAAGTTATAGTGAAAGAAATTTGAACAAGAAAAAAAGATATAATTTTCAGAGAAAAAAATAGATTAGGAAGAGAAAGAAAAGTTATAAAAGACGAAATTTTAGAGAGAAAAAAATTCGAAAAAATATTAAATTGTTGGGGAGAAATGAAACTGATCTCTTAGGAATAATATATATATATATATATATATATATATATATATTTTAAGATGATTTTTCGATTTTAGAATATAAAGGAAAAAAGAAAAAATTATAAAAACGAAATATTGAAAACATAAAATTTATACCCCACAACCCCGATTCTTAAATGAAATTTGTTTTAGAGGAACGAAACATGAAATAAGAAAAAACTTAAATTTATTTTAAAAAGTTTTTAAGGAAAATAATTATAATTATTGAAATAAAAAAAATGAGTAGGGACTAATCGTTTTACACGTGACTTTTTTTTCTTTTTTTGAGTACCGTTTTACACGAGATTTGCATTTCATATGAGGAACTTGGATTTGTAATGATTTGGAAATTAGAAATGATTTTAAAATCATTTTCTGTGTTTATTTGGAGGATAAAAAACTGAAATTTGAAACTACAATAGATTTGAAATCACTTTTTAAATTCCGAAATTTTTCATTGTAAATAGTTTGAATTTGTCCGGATTTGAAATTAAAAAGTATCTAATTTCAAATTTACCCTCGTGTAATGTTCAAACATGGTTTCATAAGCAAATAGTCATTAAAGTAAACTACTTTTTTTTAATTCATTTTTGTATTTCTATTCCTTCTTGTGTTTTTCTCCCTGAGGTTTTTTTTTTTTTTGTGTTAAGTTAAGCAAATAAGAGGTTGCATTAGAAGAAAAAAAATAAACACAAAAGATTTCAAATAATTCAATTTTAAGTTTTTTTTTCTTTAAAAAAATCTTTGTTTACAAGTTTTTTGATTATTATTGACCAGATTTAAATTAGTATCTTGATTTGATTAAATGATTTCATTTTTAGATGCGGTTGACATGCACTACTATTTCGTTGTTAAAATATTATATTTATTATTAATATAATATCTTGCTAATTATAAGGGCATATTAGTAAAATGTTATACTTTCTTTTTATTTTTCGTGAACATCCAAACAAGAAATTTTATGATTTGAATTCCATTTGGTTCCAAATATAATTAGGAATTTGAAATCATTTCCATTATTTAAAATCCTCAAATTTGAAATCATTTCTCACCAATTCCAGATGGCAAACAGAGCATAAAGGTGAAAATCTTAAAATCGTTTCACACATCTTTACAAAGCTTTTTGATTTTCTTTTCAAAAAAAGGGAAACATTTTGATCTTATATGAATCTTTTTTGGTTTTGTTTTTTTTCAAAATTTGGCATCTAATCCCGCCATTGATGCCAAAATCTGCCTAAGTCCCAAGATGCGACCTGTTAGGTCAGTGCAAGCTGTTCGGAACGAGCTTCTTTGGTGGTACGTACCTACAAGGACAGGTAGGACACTCTGCCGCCTAAGTTAGTTTGGATCCAAACTTAAACAGATCAGCTTCAGACAGATTTTTCATACCTGGACTTGTTAGCTAGTGGTGTATTTATAGCTATGAGAGAGGGTAGCTATCTGTCCTGTCGAGGTATTTTTCTGCTCGGACGAGTGATACTCTAAAAGGACCATCGATCTATGCAAGTGCCTCTGGATCCTTCCCTGCTCCTCTGGTCTATGCATTTGGGTGTTTTCGCTAGCGTCTAAACACTAGATCCTGATCTGCTAGGTCGACACTTAGCCTTCTCCCAATAGGTCGGCCTCGAGGAGTTTGTCCTCCAACGCCCACAATATCCCCCTCAACCCAACCTCCTTTATTAGCGAAAAAAAGAAAAAAGAAAAAAGAAAAGAGAGCTCAGGTTCTTGAGAGGAAAAAAACCAAAAGAGAGTAACTAATTACATAGTTGTATGAGTTTATTTTATTATTATTTGAAAAATGTTGAAAAAAATTTTTAATTCCCAAACGTTTAAAATTTTATCAAGCTATCTAAACCTACAATCTAAACACAGTTTTTCTAAATTCAAGGTACCTAAATTGTTCCATTAAACCATTAATTAGGCTACTTTAAACTCACCCTTGGGAATTTTAATCTGTGCTTCAATCACTCTCTCAATATTGTTCTACACCATGTTTGAAATATTGATGTCGATGAAAATGACAATATCTCGATTTTATGAAAATACCGATTTTGATGAGATATTTCTTAAGAAATCATAAAACTATTTAAATTAATATATAAACATTTCAACATTCCTAAATAAATTAAAAATTCTTATTATTAAAATTATATCAACATTAGTAATATTTTATTGATATATATATATATATATTTTGAAAATTTATCGTTTTTTAGTTTATAATGAAAATTTCGATTTTTGATATTAAACAGAAAGGTTTGTTGGTAAAAATTTAAAACCCCGTTCTACTTACAACAATCCTAAAAAATTTATGAAAGTTGGAAAATTATGATTAGATTCTCAGAAAAAGTAAGAAAGAAAAGGCGCAAAAAACTAAAGTAATATGCGAAAAGACAGAAATGGGGTTGTGTTTTGTCCATCCTCAATTGTCCTTTTCTTTTTAGTAAAAAAAAATGAAGATTTGATTCTTTTGTCTTTTTTTTTCCTTTTTTTTAAAAAAAAAAATACTTTACTCCTTGCCTCTTGCCTCCAAGGAACAATCTTGCAGAGATGCAGAAATATGAACCTTTTTTTAAAAAAAAAAAATCACCTTGAAAAACAATATTGATAGTATGTTTATGATGACTTTTGAAAAAGGTGACTTTTTAAATAAATTTATTTTTTCTATCAATAAATACTATTTTAGAGCGTGTTTAGTGTTTAGTATAATTTCTAAAGTGATATTAAATCGGTAAAAGTGCTTTAAAAAATCTATACAACTTTAGGCAATAAATAAAAGCATTAAGAAATATCAGATTAGTTTCAAAACACCATATTTAAAGAAACACTTTGAGAGATAAATGGTTATCAAAAATTATTTAAAATAAATTGATACCCTTGTAGTCAAGCATGCAGTAGATGCTTACCACAAAAAAAAAATGATTATATTAAAAACAAGATTTTAGATGTCGATGTCTATAGAAATTTGATAAATTTCTCATGTCAATATATATTTTTGTAGAAATTAAAAAGTCGTAAAAAATATTTAAATTAACAAATGAATATTTTTATATTTCTAAATAAATTAAAAATGATTAATATTAATATTAGTTATATATTAGTGATATTTTATTGATATTTTTTATATTTTGTCTATTTTTTTTACAATACAACGAAAATGTCAATTTATTCATCATGTCAATGTTGAAGTCATAAATACATACAAATGTTGAATATTTGATATCATAATTGAAAGATATACGAAACTCACCTTGGTAAATACACTCTAAATTAGCACTTCTTTCAAGAGTACTCGTTGTAGGATCTACGAAACTCACCTTGGTAAATACACTCTAAATTAGCACTTCTTTCAAGAGTACTCGTTGTAGGATCTACTCCCAATCCCAATAGTAATTACATTTTAACAACCTTGAACATATATAAATTATGGGAGTCAGCTGAGAAGTTTTGTCCATTTGATCATTGTTCGAAAACTTAGAAGATTAAGAACATCAGTTTCCATGGATGGCAATGGCATTCGATGTTTGAAGATTATTGAAGTGTGTAAGATATCTCCTTCACCGGAGGAGGACTTAGCTGCACCAAACTCTCTTCCTCTCACTTTCTTCGACCTCCTTCGTTTGAAACACCAACCAATTCAACAGCTTTTCTTCTACCAATTACCATCTTCTGATACTCACGTCTCATTTCTTGACGCCATTCTCCCAAACCTCAAAACCTCCCTCTCTCTCGCTCTCCGCCGCTATCTCCCCCTCGTCGGAAACCTCCTTTGGCCCCAGCACTCCGCCGTCCCCACCGTCGAGTTCGTCGAAGGCGACGGTGTTCTCCTGACGGTGGCCGAGTCCGACGCCGACTTTCACCATCTCTCTGGCAGTGGGTTTCGCGAAGTTACAGAATATCATCCTCTCGTTTCCGAGTTGTCTATGTCTCATGATCGTGTCGCAGTGATGGCTCTCCAAGCCACCGCGTTTCGAAATAGAGGATTTTGCATTGGAATAACCATCCACCATGCTGTTACGGATGGAAGAACTTCAGCTTCGTTTGTCAAGTCATGGACTCGTATTTGCAATGATATTCTTCATGCCGTTAGAGAATCCTCTATTCCAACGGCCACAGAGCTCATCCCATTCTATGACAGGTACTTAAAATTATCATTAAACTCAAAAGACTATATCAATATTAATCGGAAAGGAAACGATTGTGCCCAGTTTGAACGTAACCTCTTACAAAGTCTCTATTTTTACATTTATCTCAGTTGTCAAATATTTCAGTTCAGTTATCAAGGATCCGACGGGTCTTACAGAAATTTACGCAAACGAATGGCTGAACAACGAAGGACCCAACAATCGGAGCCTGAGCATTAAGTTACCCAAAACATCACCTACCTTGATCCGATGCACCCTCGAGCTCACTCCCCAAAACATTCACAAGCTAAAGCAATGGCTTCTGAAGCAGCAGCGAGAGATGAATCAGCACATCTCTTCGTTTGTGGCGGCAACTGCATACCTCTGCGTATGCACAGCCAAGACCGAAGGCTTGAAAGATGGAAAGTTGATACTCGTGTTCCCGGCCGACGTTAGAACTCGTCTGAAGCCACCAATTCCTTCAAATTACTTTGGTAATTGTTTGGTTCCTCGCTACCCTTTAATGGAAAGAAGTGAGGTTTTGAGTGAAAATGGAGTGGCTGTCGCTGGTGAGGCAATCTCTGAGGCCATTAAAAGTTTGGAAGGAGGAGGTTTAGAAGAGGCACAGTACTGGGCCTCAGCCTTAGCTTCTTCAAGCAATGGTGATTCTGCTTGGCCAAAAGGCCTAATTGTAATTGGTGGGTCGCCCAAACATGGAGTTTACAGTGCAGATTTTGGGTGGGGAAAGCCGACAAAGGTGGAGATGGTGTCGGCTGATCAATTGGCAGCAATGATTTCTCTAACTGAGAGTGGAAATGGCGATGGTGGGATAGAGATTGGATTGGTTAAGGAGAAAGACGAGATGGAAAGTTTCATTGCTTTGTTTGCTCAAGGTCTTGAATCTCTTTGAAATGATCAGAAGATTGGCAAAGGTATGTGATCAAATTTTGGCCCTGAATTTAGATTCTTAATTGGATAGAATGGAATGATTAGTTTATGTTACGATTTAGTTAGGATTTTGCCTCGCTTTTGTCATCTTTTGCAGCGTTCTATAGGTTGGGGGAGGGTCCGGTGTATTATCTTTCCAGAGCTATAGTCGAAGATCTTGATAAACTACAATCACAATTTTCTTTCTAACCCTTTTTAGAGGGGAAAAATTATTTTTATCCTCATTTTTTAAACTCTTGCTTATGTTATTTTGTGTTATTTCTCTTTCTTCCTCATTTTCCTTCCATTATTTTTTCATCTTTCCCCTCTCTATCTCGTCCTCTCCCAGCTCTTTTTTCCGGAAAATATGTTTTTCTTTTATCTCTATTTTTCCATTAACCCATTCTTTCTTTATTTTTTATTTTTTGTTCCTTCTTTTTTCTCTTTTTCATTCTTCTCTCTTTTCTTTTCTCTTCCGCAGCCATGGTTCTTCCTCTCCTATTCTCTCCCAAAATTTTTTCTTCTTTAATGATGTAGGTGTCTCCTTCTTCGGGGGGCCTACATCGCGTAATTTTTTACAATAAACCCCTCCGACCGAAAATCAGTGGTAGGTGGTCCTGTAAAGCTTCAGAGATGGGTTACTTTTTCTTAACATTGGAGCACATCACATTATAACAAATGTGCAGATCGTCTTACTGCTGCCAAATTTCGCAATAGGCTGGGCTTAGAGAGAGAAAAAGAAGCAAGAAAGAGAGGGAGAGAGAAGGGAGAGAGAGAATGAGAGAGCAGTATATTTTTAAAAATATTTTTATTTAAAAAAATTATTAATTGAGAAAGAAACAAATATGTAGATTAGAGAGCGAAACAAAAAGTGTGTTACCTCAATAGGTGATAGCTACTTGATGCAATGTCTATGTGAACTGTAGGTGTAGTGGCGCCTTGTCTCCTCTCAAAATTGGGAGAAATTGGTTTACTAGTGCCCTCCCAGATTTTTGTGTTTTGAATCAAGTTTTCACATAAAAACCCAACTGCAGTATATTGTGTTTTAATTTAGCTACCCTACATTTGCAAATAGTTTCAAACCTACCTTATTTTTGTTTTTTATTTACGTTACTAAGAAGAAGTTCTAAAAAACAAAACTTACTTTCTCTCTCTTCTTCATTCACAATAAAAAAAAAAACTCAAAAAACTCACTTTTTCTCTCTTCTTTATTCACGAAAAAACACCTAAATTTGCTATCCCTTTCTAGGGTATTCAAAAAACCCGACGAACCCAATCCAAACCATAAAAAAAATTGGATCAACCCAACCCAACCCAAATTTATGCATATATATGTATTTTTTTAATTATATATATATGCATATATATATCCCTCTATCTTCAATGCGTCAACCGTACATTTATTTTTAATCATAGTCCTTCGTTTAAGGTCTTCATATTATCTTCTTCTATTTTGTATAATAATCTCATTCATCCATTTAATTTTAATCCTAACTCCCCGTCGCCACGGTAGATTAAAAAAAGAACACACACACAATCCGACTATCCAAACCGACCCACCCGAAAATATTGGGTTGGGTCAACCATTCAATTCTAAGCTGACGGTTCCTAGATTGGTCCCAAAACTCCTCCTAACCCGGACCCAACCCAACCCTTGAACACCTATCCCTTTCTCTCCTCATCTTCTTCCGTCAGTGTCCCTTCTTGTTCTTTTCTTTTCTTTTTTTTTCTTTTTAAACTGCCATTCACGATCTTCCTCCGATGGGAGCGAGCACCCAAGAGCGATTTTGAACGAGGGTTTAAAACTATTTTCACTCCAATTTTACTTAAATTTCTACTTTTTTTCTTTGTGCAGAACAATTTTCTTGGGAAGAATTTGAAAATCTCTTATTGGAAGGGAGGAGATCTCAAATCGTTCAAGTTTTTGAAGTAGTAATATATTTGAGATGGAGAGAGAAGAGATATAAGATTAGAAGGAAAAGAACACTAGTAGTGAAGAGAGAAAAAATTGGAGGAGAGAGAGGGGTCTTAGAGGGAAGAGAGAGAAGAAGAGAAAGAAGAAAAGAAAAGTTTTGGGAGAGAGGGAAGTCTGAGAAGAACAAGAAAAGAGGGAGAAATTCATTAAAACAAAAGTAGTAATCAAGGCGAATACATAATTTTGCACCAATTTAATGTAACCAAAGATTACAAAACTTAGATTTTCAAAAAAAATGTCGAAATAGGTCTCGTATGCCAAAAAAAAAATTTAATATTTTTCAAGGTTACCGTTCACCTTCAAAAATTAATATTTTTCAAAGCTTAAATTAACTTTCAAAAATTAATATTTTTCAAGGGTTACAGGTCTTCGATAATTGTCAAATTAGTTGTGAATAATTAATTATTGTCAAATATTTTTTTTTAAGGTTTTTATATTTTCCAAATATCATAATGCTATTCTCAACAATACAATTAGTTGTGAATAATTAATTATTGTCAAATATTTTTTTAAGGTTTTTATATTTTCCAAATATCATAATGCTATTCTCAACAATTTTTATACCAATCGATATTTGTAAATCCTTGAAAAAAAATCGAGTAGAAATTAATATTAAACTAATATTATTTTTTTATTAGAAAAATTAAATTACGTTTTGTAACTTCTGGACCATATCCAATCCAAGTAAAATATTATTTACTACAAATCAATAGTACCGCAAAAGCATATTCAACAATCAACAAGTAGAGAGTCATGATCTTTCTAAAATTAATTCAACTAATATAAATACCTCAAACCCCTGAAAAAAAAATCATAATTTTAAGAGTAGTTTGAATCAACTCAATCTAACTTTGAAGCTTTTGTTTTTACAAGCGTCGTGACCTTCAAAATTCAACGACTGATCATAAGCAAAATGATGTATCTTCAATTAGAGAACAAAATAATGTTGTTGATCCAATCCAACGAATTCAAATATTTACCTCTTTTTTCAAAAATATCGTTATAATAGTATGATATTGTCCGCTCTAAGTTTCATCTAAAATGTAACGTACTAATAGAGATAATTGTCCTCATTTATATACTATGGATGTTTGCACACCTTACAACTCCAACATTATTGGTACATGTTTTTCCAACTTTAAACGTTTGTCTCATTAATATTTTCCAAACATATGAAAATTGAGAGTTATATCGAAATTTTCATTTTCATTTTTGCTTCATATGTTAAGAATTCATAACAAGTGTAAATTAGATGGTTCTTTTGTCTTTTAACAATGAAATATAATGGATTTTAACAAGCTACTAAATTTTTGACATGTTTGAAAAAAATTTTGGTATCTCGTTCTCTTTCTTCCCCTCATGTTTAATTTCTTTTTATTGGTCAGACATTACATAAAAGATAAGATAGGGTAGAAATTTTTGGTGCCAATTTTACCCTTCAATTTTAAATATTCAATTCAATAAAATGAAGCGTATTAAATTTAATGTCAACATGAACTATGTTTATTGGTTAAAGCATCTTACTCCTTCGAGAGGTCAGATGATGTTCAATTTCTCAACTCCACATTTTTGTTGCAAGATAAAAAATAATTAAAAAAAAATCAATTCCACGCCTTGATAGAGAACCGTCGCTTTAGCTCAAGTTTTGGAAGGGATAGATTTAAAGCTTAAAAATGGTAGGGGTGATATATCTCAATATTGACTTTTTATTTCCACTAAATTAATTAGAAAAATTATAATCAAATAATATAGTTTAGTCACATAAGAAAATATCATATATAGTTCAACATTTATATTTGTGTGTTAATTTCCACCATTCATTTTAAATATTAAATTATATAAAATGAGTTGTGTTCATTTCAATTTCACCAGTTGCATTTATACTACTTTAGCCCATAAGTTTCGAGAAAAATGTTTATAAAGTTCTTAGCATCACTATTTCTGTTAGTTATGTCATTGCATTGCTTGTGTTACGGAATGGTCAATTTTCTTTTTGAGAGGAGGAAAATAGAGCTACCAATACTGTCTCATCCAACCTAGGCTTCAATATATGTCTACATCAGTATGTTTATACACATATTAAAACTACGTTATTTATGAGGTTGAGATCCAAAATGATTCTTTTTTTATAAAAATTCATGGAATAAAATAGACATTCGAACTCAAATATAGCAAACTTAAAAATTAACTTTAAATTTCAGAAATTAAAATACAACCATGCTAAAAAAAATATTTATTTAAATCATAAATATATTAAGTACTAAATTTTTAGAACTTAATTAGAATTTTAAAAAAAAAATAGATATTTAAGTTAGTGTATAGATAAATTAAAATACAACCATGATAAAAAAATAATTTATTTAAATCATAAATTTATTAAGTACTAAATTTTTAGAACTTAATTAGAATTTTAAAAAAATAGATATTTAAGTTAGTGTATAGATATATGTATTACCCACAAAGTTTAATTTTGATCTCTAATTTTTGTAAATATTAATTTTAGGTATTCGACTTTAACAGAACTCTCGTTTATTTTGAACTCAAAAAATAATAATAATAATAATAATAAAATCATGAAATGAGTTTATTTATTTCTTTTGTTTTTGCTTATTATATCCGAGAGTCCTTAATTTTTTAGATAATTTACAATATTTGATCGTTTATCTATAAAAATTCTCAATTTTAACCTTAATGTTTAAAAGTTTTCAATCAAGTCTATGGATAAAAAATTTGTTCACAAAAAATTTTTTAGGGTTAAATTATTATTTTATAAACATATGAACATGTGCCGGTATAATATTACTTAACACATCAATCTAAATTTGTCCACTAACATAATTAAATTTTATCCACCGTCATAAAAATCTATCTATTTTTTTCTAAATGGTAATCCTACGTACCTAAATATGTTAACAAAATAATAATTTAATGACACATTAATTTTTTTTTCAAAATGTTTTAATTGAAAATTTTTAATATATTAAAAATAAAATTTAAGGATTTTTAAAGATTGAGAACAAAATTGAGAATTACCCACCTATCACTTTAATTTTTAAAATTAGGCTTGCTTAACTTTAATTTCTTTCTTATTATGTTTACTTTAAAACTAATTTTTTTATTTAGTAATCAAAAAAATTATTTTTTAGTTTTAAGGCAAATTTTAGGAGTAAAGATAGTAAAATTAACTTATCCACGACAATTTCCTTTAATAAACTAAGTTTATTTTTAAAAAAAAAAAGGAAATTGAAAACTAAAGGATGAATTAATCTGGGTTCTGCTTTTAGGAAATTATCTTGCCTTATAATAAACATTAGAAAACCAAAAATAGTTTTACTTTTTTTAAAAATGTTACAAATTTGGACCTTTTTTCCTTTTCATGTGATAGTTTTTCCTTTTTTTTTATTCCAGTTAAATTATTCTATTCATGTAAAATTTTAAACTATATTTAGAAATACATATTTTATTTTATTTTACTATTTACGTGACTGCCCTGCCCCTGAAAATTTTGGAGTTAAACGGCAATTTAGACAGAATATTCGTAATTTCGCATTGATAAAGAAAGTAGTGGGACCCATAATTTATGTGCATATTGACTTTTACATCCAAGGAGAGACGCGTGGTTGGAATATAGTGGATCCATATCAATTAAAGAATTTGAATAAGTTGGGTTACTATGTGGAAGTGGGCGGAGCAACACATGACAGTGAGACCCACGACCAGTGGAGGGAGCAACGCCATGAATTGGCGGTGACGTATAGAAGCTACGCAACACACCCTATTGTGCAGCACAAGCAGTGGGTAGGGATAGCAAGTAATGAAGGTAATACCATACATCAAAAATGTCTTCTAACGATTCATATACAAGTGGAGCTCATTAGGAGTATTTAAAAGACTCGATAATCCAATGAATCCAACCTAAATCGTAAGGGTTGGGTTGGGTCTTGGGTTCAACATTTAAAAAATTCATCTATACCATAAATGAATTAATTCATCTCAAACTATTTAGGATTTTTATGTATTAATAGAAATTTCATTTAATGAAAATTATTCCGAATTAATCAATTGTCATTCTCAACCAGCTGTCCAACAACCAATATCCTAGTCAAGTCTACTATTCCGTACTCTCAATTCCCTATTTATGAAGTTACAATAACATTGATAACTTTTTTATTTTTTATTTTTTATTTTAAAAAATTAAGTTTATAACACTATTTATACTTTTAAGATATTTTTATAATCTAATCAAATTTTTGAAAATTAAGAAAAGTAGTTTTAAAAAAATTGTTTTTCTTTTTTGAAAAAAACTAACGAAAGATATGTGTGTGGAATTAGTGTTTATAAGCTTAATTTTCAAAAATAATATAATTATTAAACGAGACCTTACTAATTTTAGGTTAATAAAAATGGCAAACAACCATTTATATCCCTAAATTTAAATATGGGTGAGTCAATTTTAATCTTAAACTTTCAATTTCATCCATTAAATTCTAATTTTTTATAAAAAAAATATATAGTATGATTAATGCCTCCAACCAATAAATCATACAAAACTCAATTAACAAAATACTTAAAATCAAAGAAATGCCCGAAGCCAAAATCCTTCCAAAAAGAATAAAAAATATTCAAAGTTCAACCACTTTTTTGGAGTTCAATGGAATAAAATTCAAACTTCTACTAATATGACAAAATAGACGGATGGAATTGAAAGAGCCAATAATCGTCTTAATATTCCATATTTTCTTGATAACAATCTCATCATTCCATATCAAAAAGACACATAAAAAGTTTTTTTTCTCCGACAAGTATATGTCAATTACCATTGAGTTATGCTCGTGTCGGCAAAGACAAAGAAAATTTATTTCACAGTAGTTTTGGATTTTGTAATAGATACCAACTTAATTTCCATAAGAAATTAAATTAAGGGCATGGGGAGTCCTAGCAGCTGGGGAAGGCAACACCACAGGCAGAAGCAACCTTTTTGGCGTTGGGAGATTGCACGTAAGGCTTCAAGTTTGGATTCCTTAGGTACCCACAAAGGCATGGCTTTTGCTCCCTCAACTTACTGCAGCAAGCGGACGAGGGTGGCATCCCCGATAGGATTGCAGTGACACACGGGCTCAGCTCCGTAGGGCTGCAAGTCACCGCCTCCGTCACACGAGCTCCGATGAGAAGCGCCGCGATCGCCACCACCAAAAGCCAAAGCCGAAGGCCTGTGATAGAAAGTTTCTTCATTCTTGCTGGGTTTGCTAGCTAGGAGAGTAAATATTGTGGGTGTGTATTTGCAAGCCTCCCTAGCTCTACTTATAGCCTCATAAAGTGGAACAGCAGTGCAGAATTTGGCCACACCTTTCATTAATTTCTCACTTCCCAACCCCACCTACTTTTTATAAGGCAGTTTTATTTCAAAATTAATTATAGATAGTCTATGTCTATTGTAAATCTTTGTAGTATTATTTTATCGCTATTCCCTTTCAATTTTAGGTTTTAATTCCGATGACAATATATATAGTTTGCAATTGCAATAATTAAATTCAATTTTTCGGTGCTTCCTCCCTAGGCGGATCCACAACTTTGTGTTAGAAAAGTATAAGTTCTTTAAAAAGAAAAATTGAAACTTCAAATATATTTATGTGAAATATATTTAATTTTTAGGATAAAAACCATTTTTGGCCCTTATCATTAAATAATCATTTAGTGATTTCTAGACTTTAGTCTGTGACGATTTTGTTCATGTACTTCTCAAATTGGTAACAATTTAGTCCTTGACTTTAGTAGATTAATAATTTAAATTTGTACTATGAAAAATAGTATTTGTAATTTTTATAAACACATTTAGTCCTTGTCAGTTCTATATGTATAAGAAATTCTATCACATCTTAACACTATTTTATAAACCATTTTGATTTTAGCTAAATCTTCTTTTATTTTTCTTTTCTTATTCAGATAGACAATCACTTAATTGCCCATCTTATTCAACAATGAACAATCATCCCCCAACCAAATCTCCTTGGGATAAAATAAAGCTTGAAAAAAGAAAAGAGCCCGAGTTATTAATTTCAATATCCATTATGCATCCGTATCTAAATACAAAATTGATAATAATATAGAGTTTACTTTTTAAAATTAATATTATATTATATAGTAACATTTGAAATAATCATATGGTGTTTATYTTGTTCGTCGAGATACAAGTTTAGTTCATGAAATTGCATAGTTGTTTCAAATATGTAGTCTAAACTTTCAAAAATGTCTACAATACGTCATTGAATTTTCAATTTTATATCTAATAGATTTATGAACTTTACAGAAGTGTCTTGATTTTTAAACTTTCAATTTTGTAGGTAAGACATCCGTGATTTAGATATTTTTAAAAATTCATGGATCTAGACATAAAACTGGAAGATGAGAGTTCTATATTAGACACAAAACTCAAACCCATGAAATTTTTAAAATGTCAAATAAGTCGGAGAATTATTAGCCACAAAATTGAAAATTAAATAATCACTATTGGACATGTTAAAGTTCAAAGATATATTAGACACAAGATTAAAAGTTTGGGATCTATTAAACACTTTTAAACTCCAAGGACCTATGAAACACAATCCTTAAAGTCTATGGACGAAACTTGTAATTTAACCTATTTTATTTAAACACGTGATATCTCTATTTTATTTTATCATATATTAATTTTATTAAAAATGAGTATTTATTAAATTTAATTATAAACATTTATATTTACAAGAAAATAAATTATCAATAAAGTAATAAGTGATTTTTTTGTTACAATTTGATAGTTATTATTCTTAAATGTTAGTATGAATAATTAAATTAAATAGCTTACCATTTTAATTTATATAATTTGATTTATCGTTTTTTATTTGAAGAGAATAAATACTTATACTTAATTTGTAAAAATATAAGTTAAGAAATTATTTGTACTTGAATAACACAATTCATTTTAATAATATATATTATTATATATTACAATAATATTTAATGTTTATATCTTAAATATATTAGAAAAAATAAATCACTTTAGATTTAACATTTTTAAAAATAAAAAATTATTTATATCAAGATAAATATATATTTACATGGGTGTCCCAGTGTGATTATTAATAGTTTACATGGGTGTGTAAATATGAAGAAGTTTATATTTATGTAGGATGTGTGTAAAGGTGTCTTCATTACTCATTACAATATTGTACTGAAAAAAAAATTACAATATAAATTATTTATTTTCATTACAATATAAATTATTTAATTACTCATGGGTAGAATGTGAAAAAGGCTCGCCAACACGAGTCAGCTCAGCGATAATTGGTAATTACCTTTAATTAAGAGGTCAAGAGTTTGAATTCTCCACATCCATTTGTTGTACTCTAATTCAGTAGTAATGAGTTCAAATCTCTCGACCCACTTGTTGTACTATAAATAAATAAAAAATAAAAAACAATGCCATGGGATATGAAAAAAAATTATATACGTCCATATCTTCTTGATTAAATGGTTCAATTTCCATGTTAGAGTTTATAAAATAATAATAATAATAATAATAATATCCAGGATGGCAATTGATGTTTTCAATATATTGTGAAAATATTAATGAAATGTATATATTTATCAAATAGATATGTTACATTTACAAATTTGATTAACAAACTTTACTATTTAACATTTAAAAGTTTTCGAAAAGAAATATTTTTGAGTATATGAGTTAGCTTATATGGTTCCGAGTTTCTATATCTTACAATATTTTTTAAAATCATTTTCTAAGAAAAGGAAAATAAGTGGAAATTTAGTGGATTAATCCCTAATATTTAAATATTTTTTAAAATTTAGTCCCGCCATGTTGATTAATGTTAAAATTGACTTTACCATAAACTTACCTAATTGAATGGATAGAAATTTAGAGGAGGAAAAAATTAGTGACAAATTGGTAAAAGTTTCAAGTATTATGCTCTTGAATGACAATGTTTTCTCTTCTAAATTTTTGCCATTTTTGGTAATGAATGACTCAGCTTTTAATTTCTGAAAATATTTCCCTATTTCTAGATTTTCTAAGAATTACGTATTATCATCGGCCAATTTTGATATTCATCTATAATGAGAGATCGTTTTTATTTCTTAAAAACATAAGCGTCTAATAACTATTTTTTTTCTCATTTTTCATTTTTAGAAGCGTCCAAAATTATAGAAACAAAATTAAGTTTCTTATTTTCATTTCCAATTTCTAGTGTTTTCTAAAATATAATTAAAAAATATTATTTTATCATTATTGACCTGTAAAATGTATAATAAATATTAAAAATAAATATATCATACATAATTTGAATATTTAATTTAAAAAAAAAAAGTAATTTTCATCCATAAAATTTTAGAAGCGGTGAAACAAAGCATTATTATTAAAATATGTTTTTTCCTTTTTTAATCAAAGAAAAAAGAACAGGAGTAAGAAAAGCTTACCCAACTCAATTCTATTTTTATTTAGGAAAATACTTACTAAGTATTAAGAGTAGTACTTAGAAAGTATTAAAAGTTGGCAACTCATTAAAAAAAACAAAAAAACAAAAAAAAAAACAACTTTTGTATTTCTCTTTCTTAACTATCAAAAATTAAGTCCAGACTTAATATTTTCCTTTTATTTATTAAAAATTAAAAAACGAGAAACAAAAATATTACTAAGTAAATTAGAGAGTTCGAAAAATTGCATTACAAAACATCCCCAAGTACAATGGAAGCTATCTAAACACAAAGTTACGACCTTTTTAATATTTTATTGAATGTAATATCTTGAAATTGTGATAAAAAAAAATAAAAGAATCAATTTATTACTTTGTAAGAACGTATTTAAGAAGCTTTGAGATTTAAGTGGAAGGTTTAAGTCTGAGTTTAGCAAACTTGTGCATTGGTAAAATCTTGCTCAACAATTCCTCACTTCATATACAAAGAATATTACATTAAAAGAATCCTCATCCAAAAATCATCAATTAGAAGCTTTAATATACACCACAAAACTACTCCCAGTTAAAGGTTCCAAATACCTCAAAAGAGCAAAGAACCCATGAAAAATATCTTGATGAATCCAACTCCAGATCTTCGGCCTTCATTTCACGAATGGCACTCCAGAGGGTACTCGATTCGCATACTCCTTGTACTCGTCCCCAAAAAACTGTCTCAAGAAGTACTCTTCATACGGAATTCGTTTGGCAAAGAAGTGCCAAACCACAACTGCAAATGCAATGGTGGAGATGGGATTACAGAGCATGATTTGGGTGCCAATCGCCCACACGAGGAAACCGCTGTATCCAGGATGACGAACAAATCTATAGACTCCATGAGTAACTAGCTTGTGATGATCCTCATGATAGATCTTGATCAGATGTGTAAATGATCGACCCGCAGTTATAATTGCCAGTTTACGTACAGTTTCTCCGATTACGACCATTGCAAGGCCTGCCTGACTAATCCACCAGTATTCCTTAAGACTGGGACACAACAAAGTTTCAAGAAAGTACTCTAAGAAAGACAAGACCATTGCCAAGAGATAGTTTTTGCTTATCAGAAGGGAATTTAGAGTAACATTTGACCTCCCATGAATTCCAACTGCCAAGATATATTCAGAGATGTGAAACAAGATGATTGCAAATATCATCTGAGACAATTGTCTGCATGCTGTGTAACTGAATATTTCTATCATTTTTTGTCAGCTCAAAGGATCAGCTCAGTCTCTCACTCACCAAAAAATAATTCGAAATGTATTCGGCTACTGCACTAAAGTTTGCAGGTAATCTGAGATTTTAGTTCAGACCTGGAAATGATGCAGAGCTATATAACACCAATACGAGAAATTATTATGAACAAAATCCTGGAGATCCTTCAAGCGCAACATCTGCAAAGAAAAAATAATAATAGAAGAGAGTTTCTATCACAAACCATGTTTGTTAAATAAAATTATCAGCGATGAATGTGATAAATGAATAGAAATCTAGATTATCCTCAAAGGATTTAGTATACCCTGTGCAATCAATTGTACTAATGGAAGGTTTGCGGGAAAAAAAGAAGTTTTTGTAAGCTTCAATGTGATCTACGCAGGTACATAATTCCATTAACAAGTTCTCCTGTAAACGTTTCTGGGTGCACATACCGGGATTGGGAAGACGTTTAAATGTTATTAGGGATAATAAGACTAAGAAAATATGGGTTTCACAGCTTCAGGAAGATCGCAGTTTCAAAATTAACACAGCAATTACACTAAAAAGTAGATGCCAAATAATCGAATGAGCACAATTGAAGTAATATCTTTCAGCTACAAGGTATCTATAATTACATTATAGGAATCTAAAGAGTCAACAACAATTCCAAAGAATGGCATATCTGTGAAACGAACAAAAAGTTCATGAATTTTATAAAGCTGCTGATGGAATAAACATTATGAGACGGTTAAGTAGAGAAAATCTGGCAAAAGCAAATTCTCAAGTATGATTTAGTGACAACAAAACCTTTAGCCTTCCTGAAACCTATACTCCATGTGTAAGATCAAAATCCTAAAACATTCTATGAAGCTTAAAAAAAACTGCTCAATTTAGATTAATAGAAAAAGATGTGAAATTATAGATTTCTTTTTCTACAGAGCACCAATTTGCCACATTGAATCTTGCTCTCTACCACCTCCTCAAAATTCTCAACTTTTCACAAGAGAGAAAGGAAACAAAAAAAGAAAAAGAAAAAAAGGTTTCACTTTCTTTCCAGCTATAACTCCGTCTCCGACAAAACCTCTCCTGTCAAACTAAACCATAAAATCTACAATTTTCTGTGAAACCATGTCTCCAAAAGATAATAACTGTTATGTCCAAACGATTCTTAGTGTAACTTTTTGAACTTCGAAGGAAGGATTTCTTCAACGTTTTATTTTTAGTCTCTTGTAATAATTGCATATTTGTTGTTTATTCGAAAGTTTTTTTTTCTTTTCACACCCTCGGTAGTTTGTACCTTTGAACATTTTTCTATCTTTTGTTCAAAAAAATCAATCCAGTATCTTCTGCTAAATTGGTAAGAACAGCAGATGTTGTTTATTGTCCCATTTTCTTTGCAAAGCACGCCAATTTGGAAATAACATCCAATTTGGACACCTCTATTGCGATCCTGTCAGGATTACTTATAATCTCCTAAGGAATCTTACTTCTCCATATCACTTTTATCAAATCCTTCTCAAAAGTTGATTCACCTCAAGTAATTTCCTTAACATTGATTAAGGACACAATAACCATACCCCCCGATCTTCTCCATCACTTAGTTTTTCTTAGAACAAATAACCTCTTAGAAATTTAATCTTCTTGCAAACTGCTTCTCAAGATAATCTTGACTGTCCAAAGACATGCATCTCACTCCCGACCATCCAAAATTCAAAGGCATCTCATTACTAAGCTTCCTATTCTAGTTCAAATTTTACTAAGGGTGTAAATAGGACAGTTCAGATCAATTTTCCAAACAAACTGAACCAAGAAAAAAAGTTAATATAACAAACTGAACTGACCATTGGTGATGGGCAAAGTCGAACATGACCAAGCTTCGACCGAACCTCAGCTCAATCAGGTTGGTCGTCGATTTGGCAGTGCTATACGGTCATAGGTCGGTTCGCAGTTTTGCAGACCATAGTGAAGCAGAGAATTGTCCTTAATTTTCACAGAGCTAAATCATTGTCATTTATGCAGCCCACAGACAAAGAACTTGTATTCAAACAAAATATTAAGAAGGCAAGAAAATTTATCAATTTTTCTCATCAATGAATAATACTCAATAAGGAAGGAGGAAAAACCTCAATTTCTCGAAGCAAAATTCCGATAGCCGTACGAAATTCCTTGGACAGATTTCATTCTCCATCTCCTAAGTAGTTCAACTTACAATCTAAAGTCATACACTAACGAATCCCGAATGCAAATAAAATTAACAAAAACATTATATTATCCATGGAATCACTGCAAAATCAAAATATATACATATCAGTGGAGTACCTTATGCGAAAGCTTCGTTCTGATCGCTTAAGCAGAGAGGGAAGATTAAGTTGAATCAAATCAATGTCCACACACTGCGATCGGGAGAGCGGCGAAAGAGAGTGATTTTGATTTTTTGGTTGCTCGTAAACTTAGTTTCAAAAACTCGCCAAACAACCCGACCGGGTTTAGTCGGTTTTATATTATGTTGAAAACCGATTCGGATCATTTTTCAAAAAAAAAAAAAATTATTTTTGTTTCATGAGTGGTAACCTTGGAGTAATTGCAAGAGAGTTCTGCCAAAAAATAAAAATAAAAATAAAAATAAAGAGATGATGCTTCGATGTTCAACTCAATCCAGAGCGAACTATTTTATCTATAGTCGAGTAATTAGATTCGTGTATCTGTAGCCAAAGCGAACATAGCTCAGCGGTAATTGGCTACCTTACCTTTTGGTCTCTCAACTTTTAAAAAATAAGTCTAATATGATTTTTCAACTTTAAAAAGTATCTAATATGGTATAAATTTTTTAAATTATGTTTAATAAATCTATAAATTTTAAAAAGAGTGTCCCAACAAACTTTATCTGTAAACCAGTTAAAATAAATAACTTTGGAATGGAGTAAAGTTGGATAATATTGTTATGTGCAAAGGTTAGTAGGAGATCTTTTAGAATTTTTAGAATTTTTTGATGTGTTATATTTTTGGTGGTCTAAATATGAAGGTTGTTTTGTTATACTTGCATGTATAGCAAAATAAAATAAATTAATTGCAAATTTAGCAATAATATTTTGGATTTACAGAGGCAGTGGAAAAAACAACCCAAATTCACTGAAGAAAAAATTAAAATAGTTTTAAAACATATATCATTGATAGACTATATCTCTATTTAGTGATAGATATCTTAATATTATATATACATATGGTAGATATCTTTAGATATCAGTGATAGGTTATATTATTGATAATATCAAAATTTATGAAATATATTAATGATAGATGTCTGAGTGATATAAAATGATAAAGGTAGAATTATGTAAAAATTTCTAACTTAAATTTCATAGATCAAAAGGTACAATTTTACCTCAAGATAACACTTAATTTGTTTAAAACTGAAATAATTACTTAATTTATATAAGATAAAATATATGGAAAATGATAAAAGAATATTATGTGAAGTTGCAAGTTTAATCATAAACTTTTATAACTGTGTTTGATAACTTTAAAAAATGATGTGTCTAATACATTTGTATACAACATTCATGTCTAAATCATGTCTAAATCATACTGACCGATAAAAGTTGTATAAATTTTTGTTACAAGAAAAAATATTAGTAGTAGAAATGAAAAAGAAATAAATTAAAAAGTTGTGGGTCTCATTGATAAAGAGAGAGAAAGGGTAAAAGTGGTAAAGTAACTCTAATAGATACGTGGGATCCACGGAATAAAAAATGTGATTTGGATGAATTAGAGTGCAAGAGAGGAATGGGATTGTCCCGAGATTCTCAAATTTGAGGTGGGTCCACAATTTGATTTCTTTCCTATAACCCGATAAATTTGATTCTCATCCCCTGTAAGTAAACATGACTGAATCGAATATTTGGATGGATCACGACCGTCCATCCAGTTGGAATATTGTGGATGGATATGTAGAAGCTTTTGCAAAGGATAATTCCTCTTTTACAAGTTGAGAGGAATGTGACAATATGATATAACTTTTTATTAACTTTTTCCCACTTAAAGATATTTTTGGATTTTTATAGAACGTGATTTGTTAATTTTTATTTTATTTTTTATGCTTTTCCATGAAAAATAAATAAATTTCTGACTAAGTTTCACAACCATACACTCCTTTTAGAAGTGGATTCTGATGAGATAAAACTTAACAAGTCTGATTAAAATGTGCATCACTATCATTTACGAGAAAGTCTAAGAATAATGTAATTTAAAAAATCAATTAAATGTAGATTTAAAAGTAATAAAAAATTACTTAATTATATTTAAATTATTGACAAAAATAGGTTAGGTACTAGTCAAAGTCAAAAATCAGTGTCAACATGAGATGGACCTTGAAGGATGAGAAAGCAAGGAAATCGTGTACGTTGTACGCGACTTTCCATTTATACAAGTCGTGTTACGCAATTTTTATTTATGGAAAGTCGCATACAATGTACGCGATTTTCATTTAAAATATTTATATATTTACTTATGTAATTTTTTTATTTATTTTACGTATAAAATATTATTTATTTTATTAGTATTTATTTTATTTTTTACTTTCTATATAGTTTTTATTTATTTTTACCTATAAAATATAATTTATTTTATTATAAGTAAAAGTATACATTCGTCTGGAACATATTTTTTTAATAAAGCTTAGATCATGTTAAACATTACAACAATTTATATAAAAGAATCACATATACCTAACGTACAAATAAAAAGAAGTTAAAAGAAAAAATTAAATTAAATTAAAAGCAAAAATTAAAAAATTAAAAGAGAAAATTAAATTAAAAAAAGGTTAAAAGAGAAATGGAAGAAAAAAAAAGTTAAAAAAGGTCGGGGGAGTAAAAATTGAAAATAAAAAGAAGTTAAATAGCGAAAATGAAATTAAAAAAAGGTTAAAAAGAGAAATTGGTTATTTTAGACTTTTGTTCTTTTAATATACTTTCAAATTATTTATTTTGATTCTTCTGCTATCTATTTTTATTCATTTCAGTGTACTTTCAAAACTCCCGCTTTGATTTATGTAAATGGATCCTTTTAGTTTTTTATACACAATAAAAACACTTTAATACAAATTTATTTATGGACACGTAAATAAATTTAGTGAGTAAATTGTCATATTAAATTATTTATGGAAAGAAATAAGATATAAAAATGAAAATAAATGGATCAAAATAGTCTCACTTTAAAAGTATACGAAACAAAACAACATATTTCAAAAGTACACGAACTAAAATAAACAAAAAAAAATGAAAGTATACGACCAAAATGAACGTTCTACAGAAACAAAAATGAACTTTGAAGGTACGGAACCAAAATATTATTTAAACCATAAATATTTTAGGTAAATTCCTTTTAGTACAACAAATGTGGAGTATGGAAATTTAAACTTTGATCTCAAGGTTAAATTATAGGTTTGGTCCATGCACTTTACTTTTAAATTTTATGTGTAATAGTTTTATAACCTTCACAATATGAGATCTATTTAAACACAAAATTGAAATTTTAGGGAGTCGTTATAACCTTAATTTTTAAAGTACGTGTCGAAATAAACACAACTTGAAAGTTTTAGGATTTATTAAAATAATTTTAAAATATAATGACTAATTAAGTAGAGCCATAAAAATTCAAGGATCAAACTTATACGATCATTGGTCGGTCGGTGTGTCGAGACCAACCATTTTTTTCTTGGTTACGCTGACCGATCAGGGTCGTTTGGTCGGTGGAATTTCCGTTTAAATGAAGGATGAACAATAGAATATATTAAGGCAGATGGAGTCAGAGATGTGGTGCAAATGCGAGAAGAACCGAAGAAGATGAAGGCGAACTCGAGGTGGGGGACGCGCAGGAGGAATCCAAAAGGGATGAAAGAAGAAGCGAAGAAATGAAAGTCCTAGTTATGATATATATATCTTGACTAATTGAATTATATAGTTTTCCAAAAAAAATTAATTGTATTATATATGTTCAGATTGGCGGTATCAACCACTTTACTATACTATTAAAATTTAAAGACCTACCATCAACTTAATTATATCTAAATAGAGCAGTTGCAGTAGGAGATTGAACTCTCACAGAAGAGTTCAAGATAGATTTGATCAAGTAGATCTACTCAAACATGCCAAACAAACTAGAAAAAGATGTACCTTGAGACATCCTTCAAATTCCTAGCGTTACTCGGATCAATGATTGTTAAATTACAAATGAATGATGAGTTACGGTAAATTTAATTTTGGCTAAATAACAAAATATACTCATGTACTAAAAATATCTCTATTCTTTCAAAAGTTCCAATACTATCCTTAACCTTTCATAAAAGTTTCAAAAATATTTTTTGAGCAAACATATATCTTCATATTTTAAACGAAAAGTTGATGTGACATAATCTGGAATGATGTTGCAATTAATATAGAAGTTGACATATCATATAGAACTCAATTTTGTCCAAAAAGACTTCTTCGACATTGTCAATTGAGTTTTGCGCGCTTCTCTATTGTTTACTTAATTTTACTCTAATCTCCTCTTGAAAGCAATATAGTTTCTTCCACGTTTCCTCCTTTTTCAGACTTAATCTAGACAAGTTTCCACATTAATTGTCATTCATTCCATATTCTTCAACGATAACTCTTTTTGTTAAAAATACGAACGGATGTTTTATGAAAGGTCAAGAATAGTATTGAAACTTTTCAAATGATGTGGGTATTTTTAAAACAAACGAAAAAATAAATTTAGAAATAGTTTTTGTAGTTTAGCCTTTAACTTTAGATACTCTTAACACGCACCTTAATTTTGTCCAAAGTCCAATGAATGATAATTAATATCAAATCGATAAGGAATGCGGTAGATTGTTAAATCAATTAACCAAAAATTAAGATTTTTTTTCCCTCCAAAATTTGTACACAATATAATCAGTAACATTATTTAAAATGAAAAATAAATAATAGTAGTAGACGCATATTTCTAAAAAAAATTGAAAGCAAGAAGTGTAAACATCGCCAAACCCACCATCAAACAGAATTAGCTTTATTACTTATTCCACAATCCTTTTTATTTGCGTCAAAACTTCATTCAGATAATTTTAGAAAATAATTTTTGGTTCAGAAATCAGATATCAAATATATATGATCAATTTAAGAATGATATGGTTACATATTTTAGTATTTTGACTTTGGTTAAATTACAATTTGGTACTTAAACTTTCAAAATTAGGTTTAATGGAACCCTAACTTTTGAAAAGAAGTATCTTATACGTCCCTAAACTTTCAGTGTTGTGTATGATAGGTCCATAAACTTTAAAAAATATATAATAGGTCCCTCGACTTTCAATTTTGTTTTCAATAGGTCCTGACTTATTAGACATTTTTTTAAATTTTGAGACATATAAGATACAAAATTATATTATACTTTGTGTTCAATTGGTCCCGACCTTCTAATTTTACCTCCAATAGAGTCAGTCTTATAAGTCAGAAATCTATTAGACACAAAATTGATAGTTTAAGAATCTATCGGATTCATCGTAAAGTTTAAAAACCTATTAAACACAATATTAAAAGCTTAAGAAATCACAATATTGAAAGCTTCATTCATATCAATATTGAAAGCTATTATGAAAGATCAATCACTATTTTGTCTCTCTTTTATCAACCTGAGTCTAGCTAAACTAGTTAAGGCATGTATTTCTAACCAATCGGAAGTTCGAATCTCACCTCCACATATTGTTGTATTAAAAAAATACTATTATATCTCTTCTAAAAGAAAAAGACCACACCAAAAAAAAATATGGAACAAATAAGATACAGCGAGTGAATTTAACATGGAGAATGAATAACACTCTAACAACAGATGAGAGAGTATAAAAAATTGTAAAATAATTCCCATAAAAACGTAGGGTCCACATAATTATAAAAAATTAAAATGAAATTGATAAGATGGCAGGAGATAAATAAAAATTTAAATGGGACTAATGAAATCGTAGGAAATTAACGTGAATTTTATAGATTTAATGAAATAAATGGGCTACATGGAATAAAGTAATATATATGAAGAAAAAAATCACAACATTTTTTTTTATTAAAAGAAAAACATTTGGACCAGAAAAGTTGTGTGCTTTGGGCCTCTATAAAACAAGTGTTGAGTGCCTCTTGGGTTGCTCCAAATATCAAAATCTAAACTTTTCTTCTTCTGCCATTTTTCCTTCTTCAAGAAGGTCTCTGTTTTTGCAGGTTTTGAGAGAATTACTTGAAGATGGTGATGATGATGGGGCTGGAGAGATTGGTGGTGAGTTTGAAAGCAAAACTCATAAAGTCATTGAAGATGAAGAAGCCAAATTATGATAAGATGGAGAAAAGTGAGAGCATGAGAGTAGAAATCAGAAGCAGAAAGGCCCAAAAGCTCATCCAAGACACCATGAAAATTGCTGATTCTCCCACCACCAAAACTTATGCTTTTTGATTCCTCTCTCTCTAATTTATTCTCAGCTACCAAATTTGGAGCCTAATCTGTAATGGGTTTTCTTTGTTTCAATGAATTTCAGGCTTTTGGCTCATACCCACCTTGTGTTTATGTAGTACATGGGAAAGGGAAAAAAAATGAAGATTTTCTCTCTCATTTTCTTGCTCATTTTCTGGGCTGCCAAACAGGGTTTAAGCAGATATGGTATGGGTGTGGCGTATGATGATTTGTGATTTTTGTCCATGATTTTTCTGAAGCCTCTACAAAGGATGGAAAATGGCATGAAACAGAGGAAATAATATTGTGGAAGAAAAGTTATCTCAGAGAATTAAATGTGATGAAAATGACTACTTTATTATTTTTCCCCATCTTTTGCATGCAGCCAAATGAAATCCCTTCTGGATTTTCCTTTTGTAATTTTGTTTTACAATAAAATACGTAACTAAAAAGAGAGAGCATTCAATACGTAACTATTTATGAAAAGTAATCGGTAATTTTTTATTTATCTAATAATGTATGATTATCTTTCATAAAGTTAATATTTAATTTTCGTTGTTTTTATCTAGCCAAGAATTAAAGTAAGCTAAAAAAAATTAATAGAGTCATGTAATTTATTTGAGAATTAGTCCATCCATAATGTTTTTTTTTTTTTTTACAACAAAGGTAGGGTTGAAAGATTTAAATTCCAAGATTATTCTAATTTGGCACCTAATGTTCGTTTTGATCGCTAAACTTTAATGATTTTTTCTAAAAAAATAACTATTTTGGTCCAAATTGTTGGCATAGAGCTTGAAGTATGTGCACCAGCATATTAATTAGAGCATAATTTCAAAGCATCGAGCAAGTAAATGTTGTATGAGAAAATAATATAGTAAAGACCAAAATAGTTATTTTTAAACGTCGAGAGATAGACAATTTCAAAGTTGAGGAATCAAAAAAGATATTTTAAAAATTTAATAAATCAATAAATGTTCTAATGACTCTTTTTATTTAGGGTCACCAACTCCATATCCTCGAGAAAGATGAAGCTGTACCCGTCTTATTCTCGAACTCAAAATTTAAAATTAAAATAAGGAAAAACAACACTTTATTTTAATACGAATTAATTATAGAGACAAATATATTTAATAATTTTGTTAGGTTTGTTTGATCATCTTTAAGCAGTTAGGCTATAAAATAATGATATAATAAAATGAGAGAAATTAAGGCAATAAAGATGCTGATGTGGAAATTGTGTGGACATGAGAGTGAGATTGTGATTATGGACGTCATCTTCAAAACTTTAGAGCCTTTCATTAATATTTCCCCTAAAAGCAAACCCACCTTTTTTTGCTTTCAATATAATATTTCTCCACCCCTATAATTTTCTTTATTTATGTGCAATTTCATCCTAGGTCGTCGTAGATTTTTATTGCATTTTTTTACTTTTAATAGTAATTTATTTTAGTCAATATATACTTATACTTTTTAGTGGTCGTTTTAATCTCTTTATTTTTATTTTTATCTCATTTCTTTTAATTAAAATTTTAACATGATATTTAGCTCATTAAATTTCTTCAAATATAGTCATAAATTTATATTAAAGAATTTCTGTAGTATATAAAATTTACGTTAAAATTTTGTAAATATGAACCAAAATGATCACTTTTAACCAGTAAAAACCATAATCAATATTTTAAATGTAGTTGAAAATATTAAGATAAAGATAGAAATTTTAAATATAAAGAAACAAGATCGAATAAAGTCCAAAGGAAGAAATCAAAATAGTTGTTTGAACTCTCCTTTTTATTGCTTTGTATTAGATATTGTATTTTTATGAATGGCAGGACCATTTGTACTCGACCTTTGTTTGGACCTGAAAGTAGTGATAAAGACTATTTAGACCCTTTTTTTTCCGAATTTTTAAGTGTATCCATTTGATAAGATTGTAGGCT